CCGTGCCCCCCAGCCCACCCTCCCTCAGGGTGGGACGGACCCTCCCCACCTTCCCTCCGGGGACAGCCCTGAGGGAAGGAGCTGGAGCGCTGCCCATCCCTCCCCGCCCCGGGCGGCGCTTCCCCTCACAGGGAGCAGGGCCTGGAGGCAGGTCCGTGAGGGGAGACGGGAGGGCGGGGTCTCACCTCACCTGCCGCCGGCCCGCTCGAGGAGTTGGGGGAAGCGGCGGGGGGGGAAAGACGAAGCTCCGTTTCCCCCGCGCAGCCCCGCCCGCCTCACCTCACAGGAGCCCGCCAGCCCCGGCGGGACTTCACGGAGCGGGAGCCGCTGAGGGGAGAGGGGTAGGACCCGGGAGCCGCCCGCGCCGCCGCTCGCTCCCCGGCAGCCCCCGCGCCCACCTGAAGCCCTTTATGACATCCCCGCCCGGCGCCCCCCATAACGGACCAATGCGGCGCCCGCTCCCGCGCCGCCCGCCCAATCAGCTTCCCTCGAGGGGTGTAAGGGGGGCGGGCCTCCGCCGCGCGCCGCGCCGGCTTGTTGTGGTCGTTAAGACGCGGGGTTGGCCGCGCGTGCGCGGGGAAGGACCCGGATGCAGCAGTGCGCACCAACCCTCCCCCCGCCCCTCCGGTAACCGCGGCGGCCACGTGACAGCCACCCGGAAGGCCGCGGTGGCTCCTGGGATTTGTAGTCTAAGGGGAGGGGAGCGATGGCGGCCTGGGGTAAGGCTGAGGAGGCGGCTGCCGCTAGCGGCTCGCCCCAGCCCTAGTGTTGGCCTTTCCTCTGGGAAAACGTGCAAAACCAGGTTTTCTACCTCGAACTCGGGGATTGATAAGCGCGGCGCTGGGCCCAGTGGGAGCACCAAGGGAAGCAGGCCTTGTCCCCTGAGGCCTCAGGCGGGACAGGGGCCTGGGGCGGCCCCGGCCCAGAGAGGTGTTTCCCTCAGCTCACCACAGTCTGCCGGCAAAAGACTAGAGGAAACAAGCTTAGCTTATTAGGAGGTGCTAATTACATTAACCGCTTTACTTTCCATTTAGGTTTTAAATTATGCAAGAGCTATCCAGGCACCGTTAGGTTTCAGGCCAGGTTACAACACTCAGGAGAAATAAATAAATACTGTGGTAAATAAATAAATAAATAAATACACAAATTTACTTTCCATTTAGGTTTTAAATTATGCAAGAGCTATCCAGGCACCGTTAGGTTTCAGGCCAGGTTACAACACTCAGGAGAAATAAAGAAATACTGTGGTAAATAAATAAATAAAATTAATAAAATTAATACAGGCCCAGTGCAGGTAAGGGGGCCTGCACGAGCCTGGGCTGCTTTTAACACCGAGGCTCCAGCTCCTTCCCAGAAAACGCCATCGGTCATCAAATTTGCAAAAAGCCACCCCCAAAAAAACCCAAATAAAAATAGACCAAGCCAAAACTCAGTTAAAAAAAAAAAGCCACCATTCAGACCAAAGTGAAGTGCCCAGGACTCGAAGTCCATGAGGGAGAGTTAATTGAGGACCACGCATTTTAATAAGGGGAAGAGACTCTTTCCGTGCCAGCTGAGAAAGACTGGAGGGAAGGAAAGGTTTGGATTTGTATCATGGCACAAGTTTCTATCAAGAGCTGCTCTCTAAGGTGAGAGCTCACTAAAGTTTAAGAAACACTTGAAGGCAGGAGGGTTTTTTTCCCCTACTCCGAGAGCTTTTGTTCCCCAGGGTTCGCAGCTTGCGAACAGCACTCTTAGCCACACCATTAGGAGTTACTCATGTGAAGGGCCAAGAAAAAAAGGAAGATGCGGAAAAGAAATAGAAGAATTCACCATCTTTTTCCTCTTTTGCCCTTTGAAAAGTCTTTGAAGCCCTTCTCAGCCCAGAAAAAAAAAGGAGTAAAGAGACAGTCCAAATTGTGTATGAGGCATATGCAGCAGATGTAACGCCTATAAATAAAGTGCAAGCGCTCTCGCTGTAGACACCCATTTGCAAATAGCTCCCACATTCCTTTCCAAGCTGCTACTCCCAACTTACCCCCCTACACACACGCTTAAAATGAATCATTGCCAGGCCCACCTATGGCGCAAATGGAGAGGCAATGTTCCTCCTTTCTCCCTTCCAACCTTTCCTTCTGCTTTCTACCCATTAGCGCTACATGATGCTTGGGCTACAGAATTCACAGCGCCTGGTAAAAGTAAATCCAACTTGAGGAAGAAGAGACTGAAGCAGATGTCTCAGAACAAGGGCTTCAGTGAACGTGGGAATTGCTTTCAAAGAAGTCCTCAAAGCGCACGCTTTAAATTCACAGAGACCACAGTAGGCTTAAGAGCTGAAGATAAAGCCTATCGCTATCATAAAAAAAAACCCAGAGCATCTAGTTTTAAAGTTAATGGCATCAGTTCCAGAAGGGTTGATCTCCCAAGGAACAGGTGATGGGACAAGAGGAAATGGCCTCAAGTTGCCTCAGGGGAGGTTCAGATTGGATATCAGGAAAAATTCCTACACTGACAAGTTTATTAAGCCTTGGAACAGGCTCTGCCCAGGGAAGTGGTGGAGTCACCATCCCTAGAGGTATTTAAAAGCTGGGCAGATGTGGTGCTGAGGGACATGGTTTTTATCAGAGTTAGGTTGATGGTTGGACTCAATGATCTGAAAGTTCCCTTCCAACCTGGGCAGTTCTATGATTCTAAGACAATGTTTGGTTTCTGTTGCTTTCCTGGAGCACCAGCTGCTCATCTATAACACGCTCTTTCTGGCAGAGAAGTTTTAACTATCATTATTTTTGTAGCCCACCTGAGCTGCCAATACGAAGTACCTCAACTCATCTGGTATCAAGTCCTGCAGTAGGATTTTTTAACTGCTTGATTTCATAAGATCAGAAGCTGCACCTGGTAACAGAACCCAGCCTTACCCTAATATCAGCTCAGTAGCTTGGCTGCTGACCCATTGGTTTTGGCTGTTTTCAAGTCATGACGCAGGAGCCCTTAGCAAGTGATAAAGAGGAAAGACAGACATACAGACAAATCTGGTTTAACAGACTCCATTTACTAGTTTATCAGTTATTTTCTCTATAGATCTGTTCAATAAAACAAACTATACTTCGTATAATAGATTACTTCATTGCAGGTATTGCACAGGCTAGATTCATTTGGGCACCATGGAAACAATATAGCAGGAGGGTACTGTCTTTTTGTAAAAATATATCATTTAGCACAATGAGACCCAACAAGAGAATACTAACCATTTCAAATGGGTAATATCATTTAAATATCCACGGCCATCTCATTGCAGCTCTACCGGATCAGAGAATCCAGAGTGTTAGTACTGGGCAGGGGGTAGGGAGGGTGTCCTCTCTGCACCACACCAGCCATGGCTACTGGCCTCCAAAGGCATTCAGTGGGTCATCAAAGGTGCTCTGTGTCTTGCTTTCAGATTTTACTTCCGAGGCCACTTGGGAAGATCTGCTTTTGGGAGTGGGTATCTTGACTTGGCTGCTAGAGAAGATATCATCTAAAGGGGGAAAAAAAAAAAAAAAAAAGAAAAAAAGAAAAAAAGATAGATTTTAATGTGAAACGGCTGCCAAACAGAAGTAACATTGTACATAAGAGTCTCCAGCACACAGCAGTGACTGCCAAGGACATTCTGTGATAAACAAATGCTTTCCTGCTGCTTGTGATTCTAGATGGGTTTGTAAGGACATACGTGGGAGCTGTTCGCTGTAAGTCAAATTAAGAGTATTTTTTCTTCTTGGTAGAGCAGAATAATACTTGTATTTCATAACACGTTCAAGCTCTCATAAGCAATTGAGAAGTACTAATAAATTAAGCCTCCACAATAAATTCCATCGTGCAAGTGCCAGATAACATCCCTCTTATCTAGAACATCAGCGTCTGAGGAACCAGAGAGATCCAAGAGCTGTGAGACAGTTGCCAAAGAAAATCAGAAGAGGAAAAGATGGTACTTGCTAGTGACTACTGTTGCGACATCCACTAGCCATACGAGAGTCTTTAATCTGCAGCACAGTAAAGAAACATCCTGAATGGTGGTTGAATATTCAAAATATTCAAAAAATATATTCAAAAAGTCTGTCTACAGCCCTGAATCAAGATCTCCCACCACCTTCCTCAACACAAGTATTTCTGTTATGAATAACTAGGACCACAAAGTGGAAAAATATCATGTTGCTATTTAAAAGACGGGTTGACACAGTGCTTAGTGACGTGGTTTAGTGATGGTTTTTGTAAGTGTTGAGTTGATGGTTGGACAAGATGATCTTAAAGGTCCCTTCCAACCTGGACAATTGTATGATTTTAAGTCAGAGTTCTCTCCTGAAGGGTAACAACTGGTAGAAACAAACCCGGATACCCTGTGCCAGCAGCAGAGCTCCCAGACCTGTGGTTGGTGCTGTGGCTGTTTGGACTGCGCTCAGGGAAAGAGAGGGAGCTTCCACCATCCACGTGCTGAAGCGTTGCCCTGAGGTTTCCTGGGACCATACAACAGAGATCTCTTCTTATACACTAAGGTTTTGAAATTTAGGATACTCAGATTATGCAGTTGGACTATGAGGGGATAAAAAAATAACATTTACAGGACTGAGCTATGTGGCTCACGAGTGATTCACAAGGCCAGTATAAGCAGCACACAACTGGCTTTCAGTCCCTATTAAGAAAACACAGGTCTTATACAGAGATTAATAGCCATTTACTGGTCCTGAGTATAAAAACTAGTATTTCAGCCTCCAGCATGTATCCTAAGCTTAGGCAGAGGCCAAGCATGGAGCAGCCCATCACAATGTGCTGGCCTTTCTCTTCTCGCTACACGTGTCTGCTACCGTGCTGATCACAGGGATTACACGGGAATAATCCAGGAGAGCATTTCAGCACAAGAGCAGTTTAGAAAGGCAGTAAAACAGAGTAATCCCCCGCTGGCATCACTCCAAAGCCATCACATGGATTAGCTTCCCAGCAGAGGGGAAGTACAGCCAGTGCCATCCGCAGCAGAGCTATCACTCCCATGTTATGACAAGGCTTAAGGAATAGGAGAGCTTTGGCCGTGGAAAAACAGTATTTGTCAATGCACAAGAAAGCTCAGTCACTGTTTTGCAGACTCTCCCAGACAGAGGTGACGTCAAGACGTTTGCGTCACCAGCCGTGAGGTCACTGAGGAGGCTGGGAGGGAGGATAAAGACCTGAGAAAGCATTTTTCTAATGCTGCCACCACAAGCCTAACACAAGTGCAGTAAGTAGTGACTAGAAGCGTGGTAGGACAAAGGAGGAAAGCAGCTTGCAGCCTCCACCCCCCAAAACTGCCCCCACTTACTGTTTTATTTGTAGCAGAAGGGATCTTCTAAGGCAACGACATAGAGCCCTGATAAAGTGCTACCACAAGCTCTTGAGCTAACTCTTATCC